TGCATTTTATTCACTCTGGGGTACAAACCCCATAAAAAAAAAATGCCAACAGCGGCAAGATGTGGGAAATATTGGTGATAGGTGGATGGTTGGACTGGATGATCTTGGAAGTCTTTTCCAACCTTGGTGATTCTATGGTTCTGTGATTCTGAGATATCAGAGAGCTCTGAAAAACGAAGGCCTGACGAATGCCCCCCAAATCCAGAAAGATACAGTCATGTGTGGTTGCATGGTATATGAGGAAGATTTCAGGCATCCTTGCTTGCTTCTGAAGTGGCAAGTGATATTTCCCAATTTAGCAATGGTCCTCAGCATGGTGTGGGCCCAGGACAGCCAGCAGTGGTGTAGAAAAGCCCTGAAATACCCTTTGGGAATCATCCCAGGGCCAGGAACTGCTCCCCAACATGGTTTGGATGCAGCCAGAGGAAGCAGTGCTGCGTCAGCACTTGGATGGGGCCCAGAGTTACAACCTTGGTACTCCATCTAGGAACACTAATTGTCTGTGAATCCTTATTGCTAACTTGCAACACTATCACAAAGCAAAAACCCCCAACAAATGTTGATACTGAGCATGTCAATTGCACTGGTAACTCTATGTTTGATTTGTATTTTTTTTAATAGATAGCATTTTACTTTCATATTCTCCTGTTGCTTGAGCGTTGCATCTTATATTCCTTCTTATATTTGTTAGAATGAAAATAATTCATTAAAATTAAAAAAGCAGGCCAAAGCCTCAGCTGGTGTAAATTGCTAGAGCCCTATGGATGCCAACTTGCTCCAGCTGAGATCTGGCCTTACATAACCTCATTTTAAGGCTGCATTTAGCCAGCCTCCCTTTCAAGCCTTCCAGCTGAGCGGTTCCACATGTCCTGATTTCCTTCCTTCCAAGGAGTGGGCTTTTAATCTACAAACACCCTCTGGTGCATAAAGATAATGGCCCTCTGCAAGAGCTAGCAGGAGTGCCTGTGGAGGAGGAGGTGGTAGGAGGGTGAGACAGCAGCTGGGTAACTCACCCCAAACCCTCCTTCTTCTCCCAGGGCTGAGCACCAGGGAAATGGTTGATGCCACAGGATGGCAAGGGAGGTGGTGCCTGTTCACACCGTGTGCATTGCTACCATGCATTCAGGTTCAGGTCATCACCATGCATCTGTAGTACTGTGGGAGAGGAGAGAAACGAAGGAAATTGTACCTGCTGCCTTCGTGGTCCCGATGAACCCCAATGAAGCCAAAAGGGCATTGTAAGGTCCTGCAAGCAGAGTTAATTTTTTGAGCTCCTTCTTATTTCTTATGCTCTGCTTCTGGTCTGTAGGGAGCAGTCAGGAGTCCGTTCGTGTGCCTCTCCTATCTGTGATATTCTAGGGTCAAAAATGAGCCTAGAGGGGTTAAAACTGTCAGAAGTGATCCTTGAAGTCAGAATACTCTCATTTTTTTCCATTCAGGATTTGCTTCTTAGAAAGCAGTAGTAGGCTTGGTTGTGCTTGGTGAAGATGAGTTTCCTAACCTGGAGTTGTTGGGAGTGGACTGAGTAGCCCAAATCCTATTACCTTCCATCTTTCCATATACCCATGGTAAAACGGGCAATTTCAAGACCTGCTCATGGTCACTGTAACTTCATCAGGCTGCTAAACTGTTAGCATCACTACTAGATTGATCAAGGCATAGTAGTGTTCTTGCAGATAATAACCTCAACAGGGTTCAGGACTGAGCAGGGGCCAGAAATCACTCCTAGTACTGATCTGAAGGCAGCCAGCTGGCTTGGGGTCATGACAGAGCTCATTTCTAGGGTCATCTTGGGCCAATTGGCCTGCGGTAGGGCAGTCAGGCTCACATGCCTGTTGAATTGTTTTTGCCTGTTGAATTGAAATGTTGTTTGTTGACTGTTGTAGATGCAGTGTGAGATTCTTGACCTTGGTCAGCCTGTGATTGTGTGGGACAGGCCATTAGGGCACTTCTTCCCTTAAAACACAGCCCAGGGGCTAGGTTGCTATTCCTTACCTGTGGCCCTTGCACATACCACTGTCCTTGTCTTTTCCCTCAGTGCCTGGGGCATGCTCCTACACTTTCTGCTGGTGGTACTCAGGCACCTCTGTCAAGAGAACAGAGCCAAGGAACAGACAGTGTCCTGGAACAGTCCATGCTGTTATATCATCCATGCAGGCTCCGACAACTTTGGCCAAGGCCAGCCAACACAGATGTAGACACGTGGAGTCGAGTCATGCCAGCTGGCCAAATGCTTTGGTCTCTTTTCTTTAATGGTACAGACACAGCCTCTGACTCCACAATCCCATCTCTGGGCATTTCTGCTAAGCAGTCTTTATCATCCACGGGGTCCCGTCCAAAAGTTATTTGACCACATTTTTGTAGCTGATGGCTTTCGCTCCTCCGAAATGTGCTTTGTTGCAGGACAGCATCGCCTTTGCCCTGCGTGGTTTGTGTGCTGCTGCAGCATCCGTAGTAAATAAGCATGAGAGTAATTATACCAACAGGAATTCTGGGAGCCCTGCCAGAGCAGAGGGGACAGCCAACCCTCTGTGCATGTAAAGAAAAACACCCCAGCCCCAAATTAGTTCTGTCTCTTGAAGCCGGGATGGAACTCAGAACTAAAAATACACACGTGCACGCAAATACACCAGCAGATAAAAATAGCCAGCATTCAAGAAAATAGAAAGCCTGAAGTTAGGCTCCTGTATCCAAAATTAAGCTCTTAAATAAATAAATTAGCCTGATTTTCAAAAGCGCAGGGCGGTGAATGGCTTTCACTGACATAAGGGGAAGCATCGTGTTGCTGAAGCTTGAGGATCAGGCCTCAATATGGATTTGAAAGTCTAATTATAGAACCCTGTTTGCTACTGGCAAAGTGTTTTTGCCTGGACCAAGAGACGGAGTGGTGTGTCATCTTCTGGTGGTGAGGCAGGATTCGCCGCCTTGGGAAGCTCAAAAGTCTGAAGGGTTTTTTTTTTCTCAGTGGAACCACAAGGGGTGTTGGGCAAGGGGTTGAGGTTGGGAGGTGGGGAGAGTCATAGAAGCATAGAATATCCCCTGTTGGAAGGACCACCGAGTCCAGCTCCTGGCTCCACACAGCACCACCTGGGTACAGTTGGCCCTTTTGGCTGCCAGGGCAACACTGTTGGTTCATGTTCAACGTGCCAGAACCCTCAGATCCCATTCCACAGGACTGGTGCCCAGCAGTCCTCCAGTCTGTATGTATAGCCTTGCTTGCTCCATCCCATGTGCAGAATCCAGCATTTGCACTTGTTTAACAGCGTGCAGTTGGTGATGGCTCAGCCTTCCAGTTGGTCCAAATCTCTCTGCAAGGCTTCTCTGCTTCTGAAGGAGTCAACATCTCCCACCAGTTTACTGCTGGTGAGACATCTGGGTTCTTGCTCACCCTGTCTGGAGGACTCAGGAGAGCCATTTGGACATCATGACGCAGTTTCCCCAACTATGGAAGGAGCGTGGTGCAGCCAACCTGTGCAAAAAGTTCAACAGTTAGGTGTGATGCTGTCATTGCCGTTGTTCCAGCTCCTGATGGAGTCAGGATCAGGCCATGCATTAGTCCAGTGCATTTTGTGCAGATGCAGAAGGGGAGCTGCTTCTTGCTCTTCTTGAGTGACTCAGCGAGTCCACGGGTGCTTCCACCCCACTGGGGTTCCGCTGGGGCTGTCCCACCAGTGTCACCTGTCATCTGTGTAGCATTTTTCTCGAGTGTCGAGCCCCACCTGGTGGCTTTCCTGCGTCAGTCATTTGGTTTCCTCTGAGTCTTCCTTCGGGGTCTTTAATTTTCTGCGGTTGTGAAGAGCAAACGGGAAAGACCAGGTGCTTGGGCAAGGGCAGGGCTTGCAGAGCTTCTCTCCCCTCTCCCTGTCGTTGTTTAGAGCAACCAAGAGTTGCATCCTTTCCTCAAACTCTTCACAGAATGGCCTGGGTTGAAAAAATCCTCAAAGATCATCTTGTTTCAACCCCCTTCCTTGCCATGCAGTCCTGGGTGGCTAGGAATGATTTCAGCAGTTTGCTGGAACCTTGGTTTGTGAAGCTGGGAGCCCATCCCAACACCACATCCCACCTCCATGCAGGCATCTGAGATGGGGCAGAGGGGTTGTTGCTTTCCATTGATTCTCTCAAATGACCAGCTTTGGGGTCAGCATTAAGTACAGCAATTCCTATGCTACATCTCAGAGCATAAGGTTACAGCTACTGCTCAAAGAGAACTACCACTAGGTCATTAATATCAGCAAGAATTAGCAGGGAACCTGTTAGGAGATACTTATTTTCTTAAAATGCTATGAGTCTTGTTAGATCTGGCTTGTGCCGCCCTGATTTGATCAGCTCTGTTGACAAAGGCTGGCTGAAGGTTCTCTCAAGGGAAGTTGTATTCGTAGGGTGAGGTTTGCAGGTCTCCTTGCACACCTGCTGTGGAAACAGAGACAGCATCTCCTTCTAGTCCAGTAGGGCCAAAAACCTCAATTGTTGACCAGTGGCAAGCTGTGTGGCCTTTTGCATTCACGTGTGCTGAAGGTGAAAATGCCATCCTGTTGCTCCGCCAGTGATGATATGCAGTCATATCTCTGGGGTTCATGAGGGAGGAGCCTCTGTGGAGTGTTGAAGGGTCTCAGGCCATCGGTCGGACCACCGCCAAGTGTCAGTAACAGCCTTTGCTATGTAGCCTCTCCTTTCCTCAAGAAAACAAAGTAGAGGAGTTATTTCCTTGTGCAAATGTCCCGTGAGCATTTCCTACCCCTCACAAGTCATATTTGGGTGGTGTCAGTCAAAGATGTCCCACTTCTGCATTGCACAGTGAGGATGCTGTAGGTTTCTCAGACCCTCCGATCCTACAGCAGTTGCTGTTGCTGTTAGAGCTGCAGAGACACCTGTGTCCATCCCAGCCTCCCTCTTCCCCCAACAACTTCCCTTCCCCCAACTACTGACCCGCAGCCCCGTTCCCATTGGATTCTGTTGGACGCCAAAGTCTCACGCTTTGCTTTTCCTCTCGTTTCCTGCAGGTATATCCGAACTATGTACCTGGGGATCCAGAGCCAGAGGCGGAAGGAACACCAGCGGCGTTTCTACTGGGCTATGATGTACGAATATGCAGACGTAAATATGTTGCGCCTCCTGGAAACTTTCCTGGAGAGCGCTCCTCAACTGGTGCTACAGCTCTGCATAATGATCCAAAAGAACCGTGCAGAAACATTACCATGTAAGTGGGCCCCTCGTCCTCCCCTCCCCATCCTCCCAGCCTTCCCCATGATCCCTTGCTCAGCTGCCGATGGACGCAACCTAATGGTGTTACGGGGCTGCCACTTTGGACAAATCTCATTCCAGCTCCACTCTGCGTTTGCTGGGTAAAATCTGTGCTTGTTCCACTGAGAAAAAAACCAGTATTGGTCAAAAGATGAGGTTCAGCTCTTCCAAACCCTGTACAGTCCGTTGCATTATCAGGAGGAGGCAGGCAATCTCTGTTGCAGTTGAAAGTGCCACCACTCATTTGTCACCTGGCACTGGGTGAACACAATCCTTCTGTGCCTCAGTTTTCCTCCTAACATCTGTGAGATGATAAAGCTGGCCAGATTTGGCATTATGTTGTGAGGACAAACAGCTCAATGTCTATGCAATGCTCTGATGGTGTTAAGTATAGTAAGTAGATAAGATGTCATATAAGAGCTTCGGTTGTGGGTTGGAGGATCTTTTGTGAAGGAAGCCCAGTAATTACAGTTGATCGTTGTCATACCCTGCCCATAAGAGGATGAAGGGGTGACCATGGTACCATCATTCTCAGCAAACCCAAGAAAATAGAGGGGTGAAGTCAGTGGAAAGGAGTGTGTGGACACAAAGATGTTGTAGAGTACGTATCTCTGGAGACATATAGACAGATGAGCAGAATCTTAGAAGCAGACACAGAGCAGAGTTGGCCAATTCTAATACCTTTTGCTGCAGCAAGGTTTTGTAGCATGGGGATTCCATCCCAGCCAAGAAGCATCAGCTCCTATCTCAGCCCTTGGATGAGCATCTCCCCATTCCTTGCCCATGGGCAAGCTGGCCACCAACTGGTCTCCAGCTTGAGAGAGAACTGTCCCTTCTGAGAACCATCAGTGGTATCAGTAAGTAAGAAGACCTGTGGCTGTTTCAGTTTGCCACTTCCAGGTGTGACTGCCTAATTCACCGGACAGGCTGCATCATTTTTTTCCTTCTCCCTTCCTCCAGCCATGCAGTTCTTCCATTCCTCCATCAAAGTGAGCAGCCTTCTCTCTCTTCTGAGGCAGCACACATCCTCTCTCTGAGAGCACAGCACAGCAGGTGATGCCCAGGGATGCAGGCAGCACAACTTGCTCAGCACTCCTGGCCCAGATGCAAGGTTTCCTGGAGCTCCTCCTAGTCAGCACATAATTCTGCATAGAGAAATTACTGAGAGGATCAGTTAGGAACAGGAGCATCAGAGATTTCCCTAAAAGCAGGCAGAAATGAAAGGAAATGGAGTGTTGTTAGGAAATCAATGTGTTTAAAAATCCAGCTTCTTCTGACTCATGGTGTCGTGTGTCATGGGACAGGAGAGGCCAGTTCTGCTTCTAAACAAGGAGAACATCAGCTGCATCACTGGGGGATGCACGCAGGCAAAGCAACCCACATCAGGACTTGTAAACCCAGGAATGGCCCATGCTTATATATCCACACTCTAGTTGTTCCTATATGACTCCCACAGTCTCTCATGGATTCGGTCAGTGCTAGAAGATGGTCTGTTTACCATTTCCCACAGCATACATCCCACTTTGAAGCTTCAGTGTTCCCTAATCTTAAGACTGCAATGCCAAACCCAGTGCTGGAAGCCAAAGCAGTCTTGAGGAGCGAATGTCAGCTCACATTTCCATCTCCTATCCATTAGATATGGCATCAGTGTGATGACTATTAGGACTTTTTGCCTTTTCCTTTTGGTTCCCATGTTAAGATAGCTGTTGAGATGAGAGGATTGGATCCATTGGGAGTACTTACTTAGAACCACAGCATCTCCTTCAGAAATGTTTAGGAACACAGGGACAGCAAGGGCTGATCTTAACAGCTGTAGTTGCAGTTAGCAGGGAGCAGATGGGGATGAGATCAGATTTATACTTTATTTCCTGGGTTCCATTTGTACTGGATGGATGGGGGTTTGAGCACCTGAAGGAGCTATAGGTCTCCCTGTTCATTGCAGGGCAGTTGGACCAGGTGGCCTTTACATGTCCCTTCCAACTCAAAGGATCCCATGATTCTGTGTTTCTATTCTGTGGATGGGCAGAAGAATGAAAATCCTTACCATGCTTTGCAAGAATCATTTTAATCTGAGAAGCATCTCTTTGAAAGGGCTGGGGGAAATGTATTTACCTGTTTCACTAACCCAGATCGCCCAAGAATTAGCATCTCCTGCATGCTCTGACACCACCAGCCACATAAGTGCTGGAGTTGGAACTTGAGGTAAAGTCCCAGACTCTGTACAGCTCAGGACATCATCTGCTGAGATTTCATGAAGGTCAGACCCGTTCCTTCATCATATCCTTGGCACAAGGCAGACCAGATCTCAGCTTAGCTGCTGTTGCCTGATGACTTGGGAAGAGCAGAAAATAGCATGGACAGAAAAGAAGCGAGAACGCAGTGTACTCCATCAGGTCAGCAGATCTGACCTGGAAGATGCATGCTGAGAGCCTGAGCAGGAGAACCTCGTGCTGTGGCTGCTGGGACAAGTGGGTCTACATCAGTTCCTGAATATGTATGTGGAAGGAGCTGGTATTGGTATGCAGGCCCATTGCGAGCAATTCATCTGCTACAAGCGCAGCTGTCTGCAAAACTGGCAGTCAGTTCAGAACAGTCATAGCATCATTTCCATTTAGGTTGGAAAAGACCTTCAAGATCATCAAGTCCAACCGTCAACCTCACCTACAGGGTGTCATCACTAAGCCTTGTCGTGGCGCCAGCGGAGGGTGAAGGAGGGAGGATACCTCCAAAATGTGGTCAGCCCATATCCAAAAGGGCCAAAGGATGGGGCTGTGAGCAACCTGGTGTAGAGGGAGGTGTCCCTGCCTATAGCAGGGATTGGAAATAGGTGATCTTAAAAGTCCTTTCCAATCCAAACCATTCTATGATTCTGCGATGGTGCTTTTCCAGGGAATATAGAGGGAGCTGAGTTGAGATCAACCCTTTATCGTTAGGTAAAAGATGATGGGACTCAGAAGAAGGGGCAGCCCTGTCCCTCACTCACTGCAATTGTCCCCAAGCTTTTGGAGAGGACAGGATGGAAGGGCGGCCCATACCCTCAGATTCCTGGGCAGCAGTGCACAGAGGAATTCACCAATTGCCTTGAATATCAATTACACGGTGTATTTAAGGAAGGAAACATAATATTAACAGCAACCAAAAAAAAAAGAGGCCAGAAACACAGATTTTCATTCCATAACTGCTCCTTATGGATAATCCACCTCCCTTCTTGCAGAGTAAGCTGCTGTAAGCCCACATCATCCTTCTGAGATGCCTGTTCCCCTGTGCTGAATGGCATGGGGCATGTACAACCAGCTTCTAGGCAGTTGGTGAGGGAAGAGAGACGTCAGTTTTTTCACCATAAATCTCTTAAAGATGTTTCCTTTCACTTAATTTTTTTTCATGTGGCTACTTAAAAATTTAATGAGATTTAGCAGAATGTCAAGTGTTCCTCCCTGTCATGATACGAGAGTTTTTTTCAATGCTTTTGATGGGAGCTTGCCTGTGTGAGGCTGCAGTGTTCAGTGCAGGGCTTTTCCCCACCATAAATATTGTCCATCCACTGACGCTGTGCTGTCTGCTGTGTAGCCCTGCTGGTGATCTGAAGGAGATTTTCAACATAAGCCTCCACTATTCACAGCTCTGTTGTAACCTCCAGGATTCTGTAAGGCGTCTGCACTCTCTGCAGCCTGCAATCTGAATCTGCTTGTATATTTAAGGAACAGCAACATTAGCTTCAGCCTGCCTGAGGTGTCACTTGTTTAGGCTATGTGACATCATAACTACAGATGTGTGTTGGTTGCAGGGCTGTGGTAGAGTTTGCAAAAATCATACCCAAATCTCGTTGCTCCTACCAAAGCAAAGTGTTGACTGTTTAGGATTAGGGCTCGTCCTTTTTTGCAGGGACATTTCAGGATACTTTTTTCCCTGCAGCTCTGTTCAGAAAACTGGAGCAGTTCTTGTGGGGAATTGGAGGGAAGGGTACTGGAGGAAATTCAGTGAGCTGTCAGTTGTCCTTGCTGCCTGGAAGAGGCATTTCCAGCCATGCTGAGTGGGTTTGGGATGAGTCAACCTCCAGTTGACTCAACACCCCTGCACCTGAGTGAGAGGCTTCCTGTGTGAGCGATAATGAGTTAGGTCGAATGTGAAGATAGACTTCTCAATTAATTTTCCCTGATGACAGGCTGATAGTTCACCAATAATATGCTGTGAATAATGGCTTTGCTGGGAACTATATACTGTCTGGAATATCCTGCTAGATAAGAAATACGTCTTACGGAATGGTTTGAGATGTAAAAACAAGGTGATATGTAAAGGACAACAAGTTAATGGATTACTTCATAGCCACTTACTTACAACTCATGCTCCAAAAATCAATGTAACCTCCTTAGCTGGGGTGAGTTAGGAAGGGAGCTTCAACTTCTCCTGCCCAAGGAGGCTGTGGATGCCCCATCCCTGCAGGCATTCAAGGCCAGGCTGGATGTGGCTCTGGGCAGCCTGGGCTGCTGGTTGGCGACCTGCACACAGCAGGGGGTTGGAACTGGATGAGCATTGTGGGCCTTTTCAACCCAGGCCGTTCTGTGATTCTGTGATAATAGAAATGTTTGTCTAAGAAAATCTTTGCCTCATTGAGTCCTAGATAACAGGAGATAGGCTGAAGGGAAGGTCCAGCAGGGTCAGGCTCTAGGCTTGGACTTGTGCTGTGTGACAGTTCATAGGGCAAAAAAACACAACAGTTAAACTTTTCCCTGTGGAGTTGGAGATGTTGGAGAGTTGGACTGCTAGAAATGGGAGATATCTGTCCTACAGCCCCAGTTCCCTGCGTCAGTGAGAGGTGAGCAAAAAAGCAATTGCTTGAAGCCATGTGGGCAAGGAGGAAAGGACTTCACTGGGTGTCTGCTCACTGAAAGAGCTTGGCAAAGAGGAGTTGGGTTATTTTCACTGAAAGCTTGCCCTGGTTGAACCACAGTTTCCCTT